CTTTCAATTAGATGGGACACATCGAGCAACTCTATATGCCAGACGCATGGCCGTTAGACCAAAAATGTAAGTATTCCTGTATCAACCTCGCATTGCCTGTTCACTAATAAGGAGAACATTCATTAGTTTTTTTATGCACTGTTCTATTGTTATGAAGACATTTAAAAAAGTAATTATCAGCTTTTCAATAAATTTATTTAGCCATTTTAGTAATATGTATTAATCTCGGCCTAAGAACGTTTGTATTCATCCTCTCATACTTTGCATAATTCGATAAAACCAGATAATACCCAACTCTCATTTTAACACATGTAAATTGTTCTAATATGAATTCCGTATAAGTTTCAGTTCAATCCCTTGGTGTTTGAACTTTGCACTCCGTCTTCCTCAAGGCAGGGGGTTTTCTTACATAATTCGGCAACCTCCCTTATGGGAACATTCTTGTTTTAAGCGTGTTTTTCAACAATACTTTAACACTTTCGAACCGTTTTGGAAAATGACTCCAGTCCTATTTTAATGCCTGTGGACGGCCTGCTGAATTTCTCATTAATTTCTGACCAGTTAAATCTCTATGAGCTCACATTCAGCCGCCCGACACAACGAGATCTTTGTGCCCTTTATTATTGCACTCAATTGTGTACAGAACTTTCAACTTCACTGGATAGCCATTTATATTCGAGTATTTTAGACACAATTCCTCAAAAAGTTTCTTAGCAAATAGAATCGTTTAATATTTATAGTGATTAATATTAATGTAGTTATTATTATGTGATATTTAGAAAATAACGCATCTCTCGCACTTTGTTTGTTTTATGCTTTCCGCGCGTTTTAACATAACGTTCTCGCTAATAATTTATTTTTAATATCATTTAAACAATACCGTTTACAAACCCTTCTGATAACACTAAGGCTTATTCGCAAACGCATGAATGATACACGTATTATTATTATTATTATTTTAAGGAAATTAGAAAGTAAACTGGCTGAAAATATAAAAGAAACAGTCATTGACGGACGGTAAACAAACAAACTTCTTGTATATTTATCATTGAGACTAATTATAATCATCATTTTATTTACTTCTTTAAAATTGCAATTATTTGGTTCAACGCCAGCATGGTTTTGGATAAAAAGGATAAAATATAACAAATCAGTTGTTGTTCATATGTATATTTGTCACTGGTAAAAATAGTAAGAAGAATGTAAATTATTAATGAAACATGGTCAATAAATCAATAAAGATGTTTTATTTAAATTTTTTTAATTCCATGTTGATGGAAATAGACAAAAATGCACCAGAATTGTGCTAAATTTAAGTTTGCTTATCGATACTTGGCTGGTCTGTAAAACGCATTTTGGAATTACGTCATTTTCATCGTTAGGTTTGTAACGTCGTGAAGGGTATGGTGTGTTATCAGCGATATCTTCGTATGTAGATTCGTATTAATCATTAATTTAACACTAATGATAACTGACTTTTGGGAAATTAAGCACATGAGTTAAAACTCATTAGTAGGGGAGACTATATAAGTGCAGGTTATAAGTGCTATAACCTCAGAAAAATCTTACTTAAAGTTTATACAAGAACTTTGGAAATTCGTAAAACTTTATGTTCTAACTGATTTTGTATTTTATTTTGCTAAGGTTACAATACAAAAACAAATGAATCTTACAGGAAATTTAATGGTCTTCCCATTAATGGAATCAAATTTACAGTTGGATTATTATTTTTTGAGATAGGCGGGCTTTATAAGAAAATGTTGTGAAAGGTCGAAGGAAGCGAAATAAGTCGAATACTGCTCAAAATCAGACTCTGGACCATAGACAGATATTTTCATGATTTGACATGTACAGTAACCTCCTGAAGTATTGTCTTCTTTTCACAGGACACCTTATACAATAAAACAGCATATTAACTCCAAATATCGGAACAGGGGATTCAAATATAAGCTGCCGGCATCAAGTACAATTCTCATATCGAATGGTATTCCTACACGCTCCCTATATGGAGCCAAGGAATGACGTTTATTAAATGACCCAGAAGGAGTCGACTTTCTCAGCATGTCGGACCTATACGCGGGCTTTGGCCCAAAAATAAGCATCCGTGCGCCAACCTCGTATGGCCTAATCTTAGTCGGGTGAGGATGATCCCTTGCTGATCATGGTACGTTAGAGCTTCCCTACCGATCCAGCCCACCGACACTGCCATTTCCTTTTAATCATATTTTTTAGTGCATTTTTAGGGTCGGCGGGCCGGATTATAGGTCAGGGGCTAGGTTGCTACTCATTTTTTTTTGGCTTTTTTGGTATATGTTTTATTTTACCTAATTTAAAAACATTTGATTTGACTGTAATCTATCTCGTGCCTAATCGGGTGAGAACCCTTTTTGTATCCGAGGGAGCTATCGAATTGATACTATATGTCGATACAACCCACTGATGCTGCCATTTCCTTTTAATTATATTTTTTATTGCATTTTTAGTTAGAGGGTTTCATTTAATGTCATTTATATGTTGTGTTTTGCTTATTATTTTGTTGGTTGTGATTCTGTTGTATCCATCATTGAGTGGATTTCACTGTTTTTAGACCGCTTGTTATTTTTCAGTCAGTGGTACTGTTTTTAATTCTGTAACCCAACTTCAGTCATATAAAACAACACCTGTGAAGAAATACTTATACAAATTAAAGACAATATTACAAGTAGACGTTTATACCTAATAATAATTAAAATAGTGAAAATAGTTTGTACAATTTTCACACTCTTAACAACATTTATTTCCTACAATATATAACAATGTTTACTTTTGAGTGAGACAACGCAAAATCTATAAAAATAAAAATAAAAATTGAGATAACGAAAGAGAATCATGCTTCATCAATCAGATCTCCATGGAGCGTTATTTTCACATAATGGTTATAATTATGCACATTTACGTTACAATAAAAAAAGATTTGTAATAAATAATTATGTTAAAAGAATTACTGACGCGAATAATTTGATTAAAGTGAGTTTTGTGCCCTATGTCCTATGTTTTATGGTGACATTAGGCGTGAACTAATGAAAACGAATGCTTGCCGGACATTCACTTTTCCCTTTGCTGAACTTTTGTAAGGAGTATTAAATGGGGTTTTCGTGTTTTAATTAAATTAACTCTATTTATTTCTGAAATAAATTAGACGCCCCTTTTCTGGGGGAGATTGTTCTACCGTGATTTTATTGGGATCGGTTCGGTTAAGAAAAGTCAATAGCGAGAAACTGAGATAAGTCACGTTTAAAGTACCAAATTTACTATACTGTTGATACTTTCGGGTCGCTTTGCGGCTTGTAAAACAAAGATTGCTTCGAAATTTTGATAAATGCTATAGAATTCACTGATTTCAAATTCCAAATCAAAGGCGGAGCCTTGACAAAAATGTTTTTTTCTTAGAAGAATAAATAAGACAGATGATTTGGACAAAATTCTCAAGTGTTGAGAATATTCAACAATTATGAAATGAACACACATTCCACGATACGTTTCACAACTACTAAGGATGTAGTAAAAATGGCCATAAATTTCTCAATTTTGGTCCGATTTGACAATTTTTTTAAAAATTTTCCTTATAAAGTCTAGTTTTTACATATTTCATAAATTCCAGAAACACAAAAAAGAAAAAACAGAAAGACAAAAATACACCCAACGGAACTTTTTTAAATTAATTAATTAATGATTTTTTTAATGAGACCACTTGCGTTTTTTAATTTGGATTTCAAAACTAGATCATTTTTAAGAAATTTTCGCATTGGTCTGAGTTCAATATCTTAATTTTTATAGCAAACAAAATGAAATTTACTAGGTATTAACACGGCCCTAATCACTCTAACGTAAAGAAGGTCCCGGATTCGAATCCAGCGTTACTTCATTCAAATCCCACATACTTACAAATTTTTTTGGTTTTTATTTTTCAAAAACAACAGCACCCCGGGGATGATATAGACCTAAAAAACAGACTGTCACGTCTCACAAAAAAAAAAAAAATAATAATTTAAAAAAAATCAAAAAAAAAAATCATGGATATGGATAAAAGAAAGAAGTAAACTCAATTTTAATTGTTGTTTTCAAAAAAGCACTTTAATCTTTGTTTTCAAAACCTAATCCTTCCAAATATACATCCAAAGGTAAATCAATAACTTCATTTCGTTATTCTACTACAATTATCATTGTGAAAGACGATGGCGTACTCTTCGGATGAAAAGTTCGATATAATGACTATTTATTACCAATGTGAACGAAATCTTTGCACGGAAAACGTTTTCCCCACCGACCTCACCCGTCTGAAAAAACTTTCCGCTGGATTTGAGAAAATGTTGAGACTGGTGAAGCTTTTGAAAAGGCGTGACTCGGTCTTACACGTACGGCAAGAAATTATGACAACTGCATCAACACATAGTTGTTCACGTAGGAAAACCCAACTCCGTCGTTACAAAATGTTCAACAACAGTTTGGTAAGGATTTTTAACTCTAGTACAAAAATAATGAAAATAATTCCTGCAACTGAATGTATTGATCTAATTTAAATTATGTACAGGAATGTCTAAAACTACATTAGCCCCTATTTAAAAGGAAAATAAATCATTTCCTTATAAAATAAAATGCGTTCATCACCTTCGCCTGACAGACTATCAATGAAAGCTGGATTTCTATGCAAACATTTTGGTCGTGAAATAAGACAATCCCGTATTTTTAAAACGCATCCTTTGATCAGATGAGGCCAAATTTTGGAATAATGTAGTTACTAATAAAAACAACAACTGGATTTGGCTTAAAGAACAAGATTGGGCTCGAGAAATGATGCTTTCTCTGTCTGGGGGATCAAACATTGGGCAGGTATGGGAATAATGAACAATATTTTCTATATACCCATTGAAGTTGAATAAATTTTTAAATTCGAAAAGCTCGTGTTTCAACCTTTTTTTGGTTTGTTATTGTAATTAATGTAAAAATCCAACAATACTTACGGTAAAGCGATATAGTTACTGTTCTTGTTTTGGGGTTGGCCCCTTTTGCCGATATAGCTTGACAGGATATAGTTTTCCCGTGGAGATTCCTAGTCACTGGGCCAAGATGAAGGCGATTTATAATTACACCCTTTGGGAGATTTTTTCCTTCTGTGCCATCCAATCTCTCACTCTCCAACAGCCAATATACCATCGGTACAGGATCTCCTAAAAAATTAATATTAATTAGAAATTTTATGTTAAAAAATGAATAATTCAGCTACGAAACTATATATAAACTCTATAAAAAAGACCATGTTAAAATATTTACAAATTAACGGTCTACAACAGATTTGTATACGGCATACCCTCTGGTTTACTCACAAAATAACTCAATCCGTTTATCTTTTAATGTATAACAATGTTCTTTACCCATTTTCAAATGGTTTTCGTCCTTTTTCATAAAATCGAATAAACAAGATAAATGAAAAAAAGCGTTAGAGGGTAAAAATGATTATTTCAAATATTTCAAGTACAAATTTATATTGTTTTTCCTCTATGTATTATAATTTACTAAGGGTACAAAATATTTTTTTTTCCTTTTTGCGTAATTATACAATTCATACAAATTAGCTAGTTTGTGTTCAACCTGTTAAAGCGATTTAATACCAATATAGTTTTTAACAATACCCCCTATTAATTAGTCAACGGACATTCTATTGACGTCCAAAATCAAGATTAAGTCTAGTATTAGGGCGGGCCCTTTTAAGAAAACGGCCGCTTATTGGTACGGTTGGGGCGAAGAGATGGGTAAGGGTAGCTGATTGCTTCATGTCCGCTTCCAGAGCTGGAGATGGCTCACGATTATTCCCACCCTCTCTCCTGTAAAACGGCATCCCCTTAATTAACTGGGTACAAGTAAATCAAGTTTGATCAGCTCTTCTCTGTCGTCAGTGAAAGACAAGGTGACAGCTCACGATTTTCCGAACGGTTTCAATAAATTTTTAATTTGGTTGCTTAATTTTAGAAGATTTTTAGCTAGTTTAATAGGTAACTATTACAGAGTTTATTGTGTTTTATATTTGGCCACTAATTTTTTGACAAAGAGAAATTTAAATTAAAAACTGAACTTTGCAAACTAACAGAAGAGTAATTTCAGGCATTCACAACTGGGGACAAATCACTTTGTACGGCCGCCAGATGAATCCTATCGTATCACTTATTTTTTTCCACTTCGTAATGACGATGGTACATGGGCCTTCATCTGACCTATTAGATCCTGAATATACAGAAACCATAGAAAAAGAACTAGTCCAAACACCACCTCTTTCTTTTTCACCAAAACCTTTCTCCTTCTGAGATGCAGCATATTATCAAAAATCATTCCAAATAGAAAGCTCCTGGATAAGACCTTATAACAGGTCAAATCCTTAAATTTCTCCCAAAAAAGCAATTCTCTTCTAAGGTATCTTTATAATGCTGTCCTAAGAAAACCTCTTTTTTCCTTACAATGGAAGTTATCCATTATAAAGACGATGTTTGAGTATTTCCAGAGCAAAGTGTGTAGTGCGGAGTATACTTTTGAATAGGTAGTGGATTGAACAGGAATATTGTAGGTGAGCAAGATTATAGTTTTTTTTGGAATTCAAAAAGGATTGGGGACGTGATAATGTCAAAGCCAGGAGACTTGCGATTGAGCAATCGGGTAAACATATATTTAACTTTAGAATAAGTGACTGCTTTGATAGTGGTGACCGAGGAATTGCAGTGTCCCTGAATCTCTGCTTCATTAAAACGCAAGTTGGATTCGACTCGTGCGACCTGAAGAGCACTGCAAAAGTGGCGTCGAACATAAAATTTGTACAGGAGGTGGAAAAGCATCCTAATTTGTACAAATACACCCTCCATGTTTATTCCAGAAAGACACAACGGTGAAAGCGTGGAATGAAGTTTTTTATGAGTTTTACAAATTTTTATAATCTTCTGTATGTTTAATGATGTCTAAATGTAAAAAATATTAGAACATGCTGAATGAACAAAAAGTAAATAAAGATAACACTTAATATACGTATATTTAAAAATATAAATTGCATTCAATTGTTTTTCTTCCGAGGTTTAATCAGTAATTAACTGTACGGATGTATTCTTTTCTTGGCCTCCTTTTCATTTGACAGTACCAGTAGAACATGACAATGTCCTCCTCACCACTTGAACTACTCATTATACCTCATTTCAAAAACCGTTTATGTGGTGTGAATTCTCCTGACACAAGTACACAAAAAAAAAAAAAATCGCCCGTGTATATGGAACCCTCACGTTTAGGTCGAGCCCACATAGGGAATTTAGTTTCATCATATGGTTGTGCAGTACATTTCTCCTAATGGTAAATCTTTCGGTTTCTCAAAAATACTTTCATTTGAAGGTATAACCGAGGTCAGCACGTCAAATGAATTTCTTTGTTTATCTTTTTGGTCTTTTGCCCTCTGGCGGTTTTTGTTTACTATATTTTTTTTATTAATCGTCAATAATCAGTAAATATGTTATTATTTTTTGAATAATTTAGAAAATAATTATTAACAAGTAATATATATGGAAATAATAATTGAATTTGTATAAAGTTGAGTTTTTACCTCACATTCAGGATTTTATTTATCTATATATAAAACAGAGCCATGACTGGCGTACAGACAACTGACAGACCAAATCTCTGAATCTAAAGAGCTGAAATATCGACAGTACATTTCAATAATGGCGAGGGTAGTCGCTAAGAAAGGGTTTTTTTGAAATTCCATCTCTACATATAAATGTGTAGTATTTAGTGACCGTTCATTAATGATTATTTGGAGATCGTGAGCTGCGGTCTTGTGTGACGCAGGTTTAGAAAAACAGTTTCTTTATTGTGCCAACGTTTCGATCTTTATTTATATCATCAATGATGTACGCAATATAGAAATTTTAATTTTATTCAAAATATTTGTACTCACTCAAAGTGTGCGTTTTCTGTATAGATGGGTCTATAATAATCCTGAAAAGATAACTAAGCCCGAACGAAAAACCATTACCCCTTTTTTCCCATTGTCGACCCCTTTCACCTCAAAGAAGCCGACTCCTCATAGAAAAATGAATTTCTATCACTACTTCCTTCCCAAATCCTTCAAAATCAAACATATATAAAGAAATAAACATCTTTATTTTACTAACACTCGCAACACAACACATAACCGTGACACAATTACACGGAAAACACAAACTTTGAGTGAGTACAAATACTTTGCATAAAACTAAAATTTCTATATTGCGTACATCATTGTATAAATTCATTCTCACATCTTAAATGTATTTGTATAATCGAAACAATGTTTATAAATCCCAGGTCCTAGGATGATCTAAATAAAAATCGAAACGTTCGCACAATAAAGAAATTCATTTTCTAAACCTACACCGCACAAGACTACATCTCACAATTTCCAAATAACTGTATATAAAACCATTACGGTTCGTGGTCCGATTGACCAATTAACTTTTTTCAATTAATTTTTTCCCTCTTTTCACTTCAAAGACGCCGACTCCTTATACAAAAATGTCTTTCTATACCGACTTCCTTCCCCACCCCCTTCAAAATCCAACGTATATAAACATAAAACAGCAATATCTCACTGGCACTCTCAAGAATGGCACACTTACGCAGAAAATAAACACTTTGCGTGAGCAGAAATACTTTGATTGAATATAAAAAATATATTTTTTGCATTGTATAAATTCACTTTTTTCCACAGTCTACATTCATTTGTTAAATTTAAACAATGTTTGTAAATCCCAGGCTCGGAAGATGATCTCGATAAAGATCGAAACGTTGGCAGACAAAGAAAATGTTTTTCTGAAACCTACATCACACCAGACCGCATCTCAAGATTTCTGAATAATCAATTTATGAAAGGTATTGGTCGAGATAAAAATGTCAGTGTCACGAGCGGGATTCGAACCCACGACCCTGGGCTAAATACGCCGCTGCTCTACCACTTGAGCTATCGTGACTTCGATCCGTTCAGACTTCCCATCTCAACCTCACCTCTCGAATTTTCCCTCCTTTTTGCCGTTTTGTATATAAAACTCTTCCGTGACTGATTGACAGACAATGCACAGACCAAACCCCTTGATCTAAAGGGTTGAAATTTGGACAGTGCATTCCTATAATGACATGGGTAGCCACTAAGAAAGGATTTTTGAAATTCCATCCTTAAGGGGACCAAATGGACAATTTCTTTTGCCATGTGTAGACTAAAGTAAACTGAAGAAGAGAAGAATTTGAGAAACGATACATTATATTAGAAACCATATTAGCACTCTGCATCGCATTAGAAAGGCACATTAAAACAGAGTCACGCGTGGACGAAGTCTCGGGTAAAAGCTATTTTTAATAATATGCTTCTAATATGCTGCTGCTTACTATTACAAAACATATTTTATAATAGTAACTAGAAATATACAATTTTTTTAAATATACGTCGGGTAGCGTCGCGTAGCTTTGCATCGGGTGTGTTCCCCGCTTAAACAATGGATATTACTGGTTTGCCTAATCCGATTTCCCCACATTTGAACGTATTTCCAGAACGACCTGCTAAAAAAGTTGAAAAAGACAATTTTTTAGCAAAATATTAAGTAAAGGTCATTTATGAACCTAAAAATATTTATAAATCAGTGTCACAACGAACGTGCAACACATTTTTAGTGTAAATAGTTGTTTAAACGGATTAATTCCAAAGAAATGTGTTCAAAAAAATAAAAGCCATTTCGAACTTTAATAATTTATTATTGATATATTTATTTTGAAAACATATAAGATACATATGATATTTCAATTTTCTTCAAGATGAAGAATATTAAGAAGTTATTTTGCATATTGATCAAAGCTTAGCTGTGTGGAGCTGTTGAAAAAGAATTTCGCCTTCCCTTTTGCGGCCACTTCTTCAGATATTAAATATTTTCTGTTATAAAAGCGCTGTGCTACTGCGTAAGGTAAAAAAACTTACATTACAAAAACTATGGATAAATCTACTACTTTGCAAAGAATTAAGTTTTCAATTACACTTTTGCCGGTTTGGATGTAGTAGTTGTAACAGCAATGAATGAACCCAATTCCTGACAATTGTTGTATTTAGCCTTGATAGCATAATTTGATTTCAAACGAAAAAAGGTAAAACTGTGTTAGAAAAGGAAAACCATGAGGT